CAGATGTTATCTTTAGTCATCTGCGTTTCTTTTTTCATATTGCCCACATTGGTATGGATAACTTCAAGTTAGCTTGTCTCTTTTTTTTGGGGGGGGGATTCTGGGAACTGAACTCAGGGCAGTCGGCCACTGAGCCACGTCCCTAGCCCTATTTTGTATTTTATTTAGAGACAGAGTCTCACTCAGTTGCTTAGCGCCTTTACACTCCTGCCTCAGCCTCTAGAGCTGTTGGGATTACAGGCATGTGCCACCACTCTTAACTAACATTAGTATCAAGTTCTGAGGACCCCTGTGACTACTAGTTGGAAACATTGACTCTAAACCACTGACCAGGTTATTAGCTTGATTAAGTTATTTGTTCGGTTTATGTTTTACAATTGTTAGGTGATTTACCCTGTTTGTTTTCATGGATGTTGGCAGAATTAAATAGGATAATAGATATGAAGATAGTTGACTTTTTTAAAAGTATTTTTTTTAGTTGTCAATGGACTTTATGTTGTTCATTTATATGTGGTGCTGAGAATTGAATCTTGTGCCTCACTCATGCTAGGCAAGCACTCTACCATTGAGCCACAATCCAAGCCCACATTTGACTTTTTATATTTGTGGATTTAACATCTATGAATTCAACCAACCATGGATCAAAAATAATAGGAAATAAAATAATTATATTTGTATCTAACACGTACAGATTTTTCTTGTCATTATTCACTACACAATGAAACATAACAATTTACATAGTATTTATATTTTATTGGGTAGTATGATGAATATATTGATGATTTAAAGTATATGGGAGGATATACATAGTTTATTCACAAATTCAATGCCATTTTCTATAAAAGACTTGAGCATCTGGAGATTTATGTGTCCACAGGAATGGGTGGTCCTAAAGCCAATCTTTCCTGGATATTGAGGGAGAACTCTACTTGAAAATATTATAAATGAAAGTAATTGCAAGTTGTTTCCACAATATCACTGGGATGACCCTTTGCTTACTTTAAGTCTTAATGTGTTCCTTGTCCTCTCAGGTTATGTAGGGGAGAGAGAAAAAAAATACAATCCCCATTCTTGCACACTTGTCAGTCTACCTCCTCAAACTTATATAGCTCTAATTGTACCTAATGAAAGAAAATTAACATTTTGGGGGGTCTTAGTTGCAGGAAACATTTTAAATAGAACTGGCCAGGGGCATTTTTCAAAATAAAATCTAAATAATGCAAGATTGTTAATGGGAACTGTGCCAGAGCTAGATTACATGACTAATAAAAATCAACCTGAGTCTCAGACTGTCAGGCAGTCTTGATCATACTTTTACTAGGTCAGCAATAGTGACAGCAGGACTCAAACTAGGCTTTGTCTTTGAATTCTAGGATCTTGGTCATCATCAACAACTTCATATTAGAGCTTGTTCAAGGATTAACAAGCAATTTGTTGTCTACTGTTCATATGCCAGTAGAGTGGGAGTAAATATATGGAGAGCCCAAGCCTAAGGTTGCTCATGGAAGGTTAAGGGTTAGAGAACATAGAAACATTTCCCCCTTTAACCCCTTATCACCATCTCAAGTTAATGCATGTGAGGCTGGCATGACCTGCATCATTTGTACTTTGAAAGGGTTGGACAATGACACATAAGAGAGTCTCCTGTCTTGTGCCTGAAAACATGTCTGGGGATCTGGGCTTTATAGTAGAAGACACTGGTCTAAGATGTTTCCAGAAGATAAGTGGAACTTTATTAACCTTTTGACTTCCAACATCCTGGCCTTGTAGTACTTGTTGTACCTGGGGGTTTCTTCCTGCTTTAGCTGCTCTTTCTTGATTCACTTATTTTGTGCCTAAGTCAGTGTAATATTTTTATCCTTTCAGACCAGCAGAATCCTCTGGTATTAGCTGCCTTGCCAACTGACCTCTTTTGTACATTCCTAACCCAGTGGCCTTTCTTAACATAGTACTGCCAGTGTTGTTATTTTTTTAAAATATATTGGTGATTGTTCATGGTTATTATAACATATAAATCAAAATTATTATTTATTAGCAATATACATAGCAATGCTAGCAATACCAACAATTCCAATTATGGCTTCAGTTTATTGAATACCTACTATATGCCAATACTCTATTATTTATTTTCCACATATTATTTTAATATGTGGTTATACATTATAATCATTCCAGTTAAGAATATGCATCTATTTTTGCTCATAGTCAGATAATAAAAGGACCCCCTTTCTTCCATTTCTAATGGAGTCATCGTAAAGAACTTCTCAGTTTCCAGGTGAGGAAACAGAGTTAAATAACTTGTCTGGGGTCACAGAGCTAGTTAAACCCAGTGTGTCTTAGTTGAAAGCTTAATTCTGAGTTAAGAAACCACTATATGGGCTGGGGTTATAGTTCAGTGGTAGAGCTCTTACCTAGCATGTGTGAAGTACTGGGTTCAATCCTTAGCACCACATAAAAAGTAAATAAATGAATAAAATAAAGGTATTGTGTCCATCTACAACTAAAAAACATTTTTAAAAGAAAGCACTGTATTAGAATTATCCTTTACTTTAGTCAACCTTATTTTCTTCCAAAGGGATAAATGCATTTTATAGTGAACTTCTTTCTGAACTTTGGACATTCTACCTATTCTTTCTATTATTGAGACCTCTGGTGAACAGTTCTCTTTCCATGGGGGTATAGTATAAGAAGGGGAATATATTTAACAAATAAATCTCTTCATCTGCATGGATAAATGCCATGGAGCAGATATGTTTAAAGTTTGTAACATCAAAAAGTCTTCAGAATACTTTGGATATCCAGCAGAAGCATTTCTTTTTCTTCTGTGTTAATACCTTTTAAACCATGTGAATATTTACCTTCCCTCTACCCACTGCCACTTCTCTAGTCCTCTTTGTCTCCCAGATATAGCCAATATACTCCATTCTTTGCCAATATGCAGATGTACAAAATTGACTACTTTTTCCATTAATGATAATTCAAGAACACCCGAAAACTATCTAGGTCATAGATCTAGGAATTTTATATTCAGATAGTCATATAACTGAATCTGAATTAGGATGTTTGAACCATATGGCGTTGATGCCAAAGTAGAGCAGAGATAACATATCTGTTAAACAAATACCACTTAGTGCTTACTCATTTAAGTAACAAACATCTACTGAGCATCTATTAGTTAATCATTTATATTCCAGAGATAGAGTCATAAACAAGAGCAACAAATTATTTGTCCTAATTAAGTTACATTTATGAAATAAACAAATGTTAGAAGAGCAGAGAGAAGAGCAAGTATAAAGGCCTATGGTTTGTATAATGTGTTCAAGAAACAGAGAAAAATGCCATTGTGACTGTACCTTAATGAATGAAGAAAAGAGTGCAGTGTTGAACCAGATCATGTATTGCTTTGTTGGAAACAAGAGAGTTTGGAATTATTTACGACAAAACTATTGAAATCATAGTCAAAAAGAATTAAATTGATTAAACTCTGCTTTATTCTCTCCTGACATTTTATCATAATAGTGCCTTTAACTTCATAGCATTTAAAGAGGTTATCCAAAACTTGACAAGAGTATGTGAATTTCTTTCATTTGATCCTAGTGGGCATAACTCATGTTGTTTGGGTTCTATATTAGGAAGAGAGAAAAGCAATATCCTACAATCTACATAGTGTATTGGGTTGCATCTGAACATCTGAATTAGAGTGCTTTCACAGCATTCTTCTCACATGACATAGTCAGGGGTGCTTGCTAATTAACTTCACTAGAAACAAGTAGGAGTCATTTTGATTATGTTAGTTTATAAGCCCAATGCACACAGCTGTCTGTCCTCCTGTGTTTTGAGATATATGAATTTAAATGAGTGAGTAATAAATAGTATGCATAGCACCAGTCATTTGGGGCCATCTTCAAGTTAGCAGTTGGCATGCTAATTCCATCTGTTACAGGATTATTATTACTTGTTGGTAGAAACACTTGGTTTTTGTATAGCTGCCCTTGGCACTTTGTATTTTTGGCAGCAAGTATCCTTTATGTTTAGAACAGATACACTCCTGAAAAGTCCTCCATAAAGTAAATTCAACACTCCTACCAAGATTTACAGTTGGCCTTCTCAGTCTTATCAGGTTGCTTCTGATCCCTTACCCCCACATTTCAATTTTCTTCTGTGTGGTTGACATCCTCTGGGTAGGAAAAATTCATGGAGTATACATACAGAAATGAAGGCATACAATTTTGTTTATTTATTTGTAGTTAAATAAATTGGTCAAACATGTTTACTGAGCTCATATTACTGAGAAGATACTAACCAAGTTACAAGAAAGTGGAATTTTAATTTCATAAATACTCCCACATAATGAGTTAGTCAATTTCTAAAGTGGCCTAATGTTAAAATTCAATGTTGATATTCTTTTATAATGGTAAGTATTGGTGGATTAATTCAAATTGACTCTACTAAGACTTGTTCTTTATGGGAGCCCCAAATTTGATTCTTGGTACGTCTCAGTAAGCACCTTAAAAAGGTATATAAGTTAACATGTGACCTCTGTGTGTTGATCTGGTTTTCTATATATATCTTATAAAAGGAAATGTTGGCTAAGAAACCAATGGTAAAATTCAACAAGCTCTTGAATGACTTCTAAAGGACTAGCCATGGAGGAAGAGCAGAGATGACTCTAGCTGTATTTATAGAAATTTTCTCACAAGTTTTCACTTAGATTTTCAGTGTAGCACCATTTACTATTGGAAAAAAAGTCTGACTTTGTTTCAGTTCTGTAACTCCCCTGTATAGCTCTATAGCTACTTCATGGCTGGCAATGCCCACATTAGCATCTTATTTCATATCACTGTGTCGGTTGAAGTAGAAAATTGCTGTGTGTTGTTTTAATGTCATTTCTGATTTTGGGGCAAGCCTTAAATGGAAAAGTCAATACTCTTGAAATATAGAGTACAAATAAATATGTAAACACCCAATAAAACTATTTTGTTATTTTTCTGTTCCTACAGAAACTCAACATATTGTATGAAGGTGTCAATGTCCTTGACTGTAGCAGAGAATGAATCAGGCCTGTGCTACAATAGCAGAATCCGCTATTTAGAAAAATCTGAAGTCACTAAAAGAAAAGAGATCTCCTGTCCAGACATGGATGACTTTAAGAAGTCTGATCAGGAGCCCGATGTTGTCTGGTACAAGGTAATTCAGCATGGTGTCAAATTCATTTTTTACCTCAGTCTGTAGCAGGCTTTGGGGATATGAAAAGTTTGGGGTATTAAATATTTTACTGAGCATAATCAATGGATTGACAACCAAGTAACTGAGACATTTGACTCCTATATACCACTGATTTTCATGCATTTCCATCAGCAGGTGTCAAAAGCAGTCCCACTTCCCCCCAAAACTAAAAATAAACAAAATCTCCCTTTAACACAACTCATAAGACCAAATGGGAAGAAAAGTGAAGCTTTAAATAATACATGAAAGAATTATTTGGGAACATATAAATATTATTTACTGTTTGTAATTGAAAGGCCCATCATTACAAGTAGTACTTGAAAAGATTAGGTGTTATGATCATCTACAATGTAAAAGCCACTGTAGTGAATACAGAGGAGAGAAATGGGTCCAATGCAGCATTCATGGACACTTATAAGGTCTAGTAACTGGAAATAAGCTACACTCAGTGAAAGTTGAATTGAAGAGAGTTGAATGAAATATTTATTTACAGAGATATGGGCAGAGTTGAGGGAACCAACTCTGGGAGGCTGTTAAATTCACTCCACTAGCCTATACTGGTAAGGGGAACTATCAATGTCACTGGAACCTAGGAAGAATAGAGAGGGCCTATCAAGATTTGTAGCCTTAGAGGAACATGTGAAGGTGGAAGAGGGAGGGAAGGAGCAGGATAAAGACCTTAATCTTTCTTAACTCCTACTCTCTGGTTTTCTGCTAATTGCCTCCCCAGTTTGAACTCAAAGAGAAATCAGAAGCAAAGATGGTAGATGCAATCAATAATCTTCAGCTTTTCTAGGCATAAAGTAGGAAAGACAAGGACAGAGAGTGGATCCAGTAGACAAGGCGAGAGCAACCATATGAGTCCAGATATTATATTCTGCCCTGTGGTCCTGTAGCAGGACTGAGCAGTCCATGCTGGTTCTGAGCCACAGAGGTTGACAGTTTTTATGTATGACAGCTGGAGGTGACCAAGAAGAATTTGTGTGCAGATGCTACGTGCATTGTTGGACCCTAACAACACTTAAAGAGCTATAGTAGGTTGTTTCTCTAGGATTCCACTGACTCTCAGTTTGCAGGGAAACCTAAACCCTAACTCCCACAGCTGTTGGGTGATTTTACATTTGGAAGCCTCTACATGTTCATACATGATGAAATTTACCAATAAGCCACAAGAGCATGTTCTTCACTTTGACATATTCCTTTTATTTTTTCTTAATGAAGACAATCTTGTGGCATATTAAAAAGGGTCATTATATTTATTATACATAGACTTATAATTTAGGGTGATCCTTTTTGGGGAGGGGGGCACTGGGATTGAACCCAGGGTGCTAAACCACTGAGCCACATCCCCAGCCCTTTTTATTTTTTATTTTGAGACAGCGTCTCACTAAGTTGTTGAGTGCCTTGCTAATTTGCTGACACTGATCTTGAATTCTCAATCCTCTTGCCTCAGCTTCCTGTGCCCCTGGGATTATAAGTGTGTGCCATCATGCCTGGCTAGTGTGATCCTTCATGTGATCATTTCCCTCCTTCATATTTATTAAGCACTATTATGTGGCATTCACTGAGCTAAGATTGGTTTATGCATCATCTTATTTCAATCTCAATGCAATTCTGTATGGAGAATACTATTGTATGCATTTAATAGAGAAAATAATCGGGGCTTAGATGTAAAGTTACATGGCAAACAAAACTTGATTTATATTCAAGGCAGTGTGGCTCCAGAGTCCATTTTATTAATTACTACTCTTTTCTGTAATGAACCAGCCTTGATCATTGGCACTTCTGTAAAATTTAGTGCTGGTGCTAAGGATCAGGCAAAAAGAGAGTAAGATGGTTTTATTTCAATTTTGTAGGTGAGGAAGGGAATTTGACCTGCCCAAGATATACCAGTTTGAGGTAAATTCCAGGTCATCAGCCTCCTTACATATGAATTCATTCTTCTATCTCATCTCTGTATCTTTCTGCTAAATTATTTCTTCCCTTTTCCTCACATCTCTAGACATCACTGTTATCATTACATACCAAAGCAATTTATTCCTTGGGAAATGCTACCACTCAATTTTTACAAATAGAGCAACAATGGAGAAGGAAAATGCATTTCCAGAATAATAATGTTTAAAAATTGCTTTTATTATTAAATTTATTTTAAACTGATATATGAAAACATAAAAAAATGTACAAATTAATGGGGCAAGATGTGATGTTTTGATACTCATATACATCATGTATATGTAATGTGTAAATCAGGTTAAATGTATCTATGTCCTTAAACATTTATCATTTAATTGTGATGAGAAAATTTAAAAATCCTCTCTTCTACTTATTTTGTTTTTGGTTTTATCAGTGCTGGGGACTGAACCCAGGGCCTTCTGCTTGTTAGATAAGAACTCCCCCACTGAGCTATACTCTCAGTCCCTTCTCCTGGTTATTTTGAAATGTATAAGTCCTTATTGTTTACTATAATCATACTACTATGCAATAATACTACATCAGACTTCTTGTTCCTATCTAATTATAACTTGGTACACATTGATTAACATTACCTCTTTCATCATTCCTGTTTACCTTCCCCAGGTTCTGGTAGCCACATTTCTATCTTTAACTATTAGGAGATCAAGCTCAAGGCCACTCTCAGTGATTTAGCTACACCCTGTCTCAAAATTATGAATGAATGAATGAATAATTGAATAAATAAATAAATGGACTGGGGTTGCAGCTCGGTGGTAAAACACCCCTGGGTACAATTCCTAGTTCCCTGCCCCCCCCAAAAAAAGAAGATTAACATTTTAGATTCCACATATGAGTGAGATCATTTATACTTTTCTCTCAGTGCCTGGCTTATTTCAATTCACATAGTGATTTCTAGTTCCATCCTTGTTATCACAACTGACAGGATTCTATTCCTTTTATGGCTGGATAATTTTTCCATTGTGTATATGTGCTACATTTCTTTATCTGTTCATCAGTTGATAGATCCTTCTTTTTTTCTCCTAGTTCGTGGCTACTGTGATTAGTGCTGCAATGAACATAGGGATAGAGATGTCCCTTCAACATACTGTTTCATTTCCTTTGAATATTCCAGAAGTGGGATTGCTGGATCATATGGTAGTTTTATTTTTAACTTTTGAGGAAACTTCAAACTGTTTTTCATAATGGCTGTACTAATTGACATTCACACCTGTAGTGTATAAAGATTCTTTTCTTCATATCATGACCAAGACTTGGTGTTTTTACTTTTCTGATATTGACTATTCTTATTAGAGTGAGATGATATATCGTTGTGTTTTTGATATGGATTTTCCTGGTTATTAATGATACTGAGCAGTTTTCCAAATACGTGATTGTCATTTTTAAGTCTTCCTGTTTCCTTTTTTTTAAAGAAAATGTAGGTCTACTGCCCATTTTCAATCAAACTTTTTTTTTGCTCTTGAATTCTTGGAGTTCCTTATATATTCTGGATATCAACCCCTTGTCAGACATTCAGTTTACAAATATTTTCTCATTCTGTAGCTTGTCTCTTCACTCTAATGTCCTAAAACACTTTCTCTTGTTATTACATAGTTTCAGGTCTTACATTTCTGTATTTAATCCATTTTAAGTAGATTTATATAACTGGTGAGACATAGAAGTCTAGTTTCATTCTTTTGCATTTGGATATCCAATTTTCCTAATACAATTTATTGAAAAGGCTATGTTTTTCTCCATGCATGTTCTTAGCACCTTTGTCAAAAATAGTTGTCTATAAATGTGTGGGTTTACTAGTAATCTCTTAATTCTGTCCTATTGCCTTGTGTGTGTGTTAGTAACCTGCTATTTTGAGTACTATAGTTTGATGTATTTTGAAGTCAGGTAGTGCAATGCCTCCTGCTTTGTTCTGTTTTATTCAAGATGGCTTTGGGTATTTGGGGTGTTTGTGTATGTGTGTGTGTGTGCGTGTGTGTGTGTGTGTGCATGCATTTTGAAAGGGATTCCATTGAACCTGTAGATGACTTTGTAGATATTTTAACATCAATAATTCTTCCAATCCATTTTGTTTATGTGAAATTTGGTGACATTTGACCTTCCTATACTTGTCTAGGTTTGGGACATTTTTTCTTATTATTTATTTGAATAAGATTTCTATCACTTTGGCATAATCAATTCCCTCTTGGACCCCAGTTGCCCAAATATTTGCTCTTTTAATAGTGTCCCAAAGTTCCCATAAGCTTTCTAGACTTATCTTTGTTCTTTTTTCTCCTCTGACCATATTTTCAAACAGCCTGCCTTTGAGCTCACTGATTCTTTCTTCTGTTTAATCTATTGTGCTATTAATTCCTTCTGTTGTGTTTTTAATTTCCCTGAGTGTATTTTTCAGCTCAAGAAATTCTATTTGATATTTATTTATTCCCATTTTTAAATTTTTCTATTAGAATATTAAAATGTTTCTGTGTTTTCTTCCAGTTCACTGAGTTTTCTCAAAACAGTTGCTTCAGGTTCTCTGGGGGTTCTCCCATACTGATCATTGCTTGGTCAGTTTCTTATGCTTTATTTTGAGTAGTAGATTAGATCAAGATTTCCTGAAAGCTCTTCATGCTTATTGGCATAATATTGTCTGTGCATTGAAGAATTAGGTATTCATTCCAGTCTTCCTAATCTGGCTTTCCGCCTGTTCTTCCAGAAATTCTAAGCAGGCTGCTTTTTTTTCTGTGAGACTGTAGTCATTACCACTATTTCATCACTGGATGGCACCCAGGTCCAGGTTTGCCTTGAGTATACTACTAGTGTTTTAGCACTATTTCAGCACTAGAGGGCAATCTAAGCCCAGGTTTGTCCCAAATCTATATTTAATCAAAATGAACCTAGAAAGAGTAGTGTGTCGCTGGTCAGCTGTAGTGTACACAATAAAAGCTTGCTTTATTTGATTTAAAAAAAAAAAAAAAAAGAGTAGTGTGTTCCAGGGTAAGCCCAGATACTTAGTC